CCTGACAGTTCAGATCATCGTCTCCTTGATGTGCAGCTATTGCAGCATCAGAAGCTGCGATAGCCAATTTTCTGGCCTCCTGCTTTAAAGCCCATCAGCGCTAATGATGCAGGGAGTGAGAGGGGGATTTACATGTTCTGGTCTGTGATGTGCCAGGACGCTGAGCCATTTCTCTTCACCTGTTGCCTTCTGCCTTTATAAAGGCAGCTCAAATCTTCAAGGCAGGAACCTGGGTCTGCGGAGTTTGCCATGCTCCTGGTTCCACGTGAGCGATGGATTGGTGCTGGGAGACTCCTCTTGGGATGCTGGAGGCCGAGCTCCCTGGATCTAAGGGGGTGACCTTGCAGACTGCTGCCAGGCGGATGAGGAGATGTCTTAGGGGTTCTTGCAAAACAGGATGCACCAGCAGTAATTCCAGAGAGACTGGAAGTGGGAGGCAGACACCTCGGAGGTGGAGAGACCACGGGCAAGGCTGCTGTCAGGAGACATGAGTGCGTGTGAAGCTGCCTCCTTGTAAATGAGTATCCGAGCCCACCTTCAGTTGGGGACGCTCCTGTGCTGAGCCCGTGACCTTCCTATTTCCCATAAACTGGCCATGACCTTTGGGGCTGTTTAACTGATAACTGCTCTCAAGGGTTCCCCAAAGCTGGATTCCTTTTTCCCCTCTGCTTTGAACTGTGACATTGTTTCTCTGGGCTTATTTCCCCCTTTCTAGCAATGGGGAAATATTTTAGGGTGACTCGGTGTCCTCTTGGCGCATCTGCAGAGGAAATGGCAGCTCTGAAGTATCCTGGATTTCTTAGAAGACCAGCTGAGATTTTTGCACCCTCACCATGGGGACTGCCTGGCCTTTCTTTACCCAGGGCGTCTGGGACAGCTGCCACTTCTGCTTCTTTCATTCACTGTCAGGTTTTCAATCCAGCATTTTTATGCTTCCCCCTTGACGGGCCCTGGGAGGAGACAATAGCTGGGCTGTTATCCTGGGATATGTGCCTTTCTCATGCAAATGAGCTGCATGCATTGGGTGAGTCCATTCAAAGCCCTACGGGAGCTGAGCCTCTCCCTGGGAGGTGGGTGCGGGGTGTGAGGAGGGGGAGCACCCAACTGGCACCACTCCAAAACTGCCGCAGCTATTTCTATCTCTGTCCTGCGCGGCAGCTTTCTGCACGGGGTGCTGAGCACCGCTGCAGCCCAGTCTGGAAGCAGCTCAGTGGATCATTCCATGCCCAGCACGTCTGTGAATTGCACAGGGATATCTTCAGTTTTAAAGGTGTGATATAAATAAAATATCATGTTATTATTAACACTTTCATCATCTGCCCTGCCAGAGAAGCAACTCATCATGAGAGCCGTTACATTTGCTGGCACTTCATGTAATATTAACGAGGACGGTAGTGTCTGGAACACTAATGTGGGGAAGGGAAGCAGTGATTGATCCTGGGCGTCCCTGGTCCCCGAGCAGACCGCTACTGCAGCTGCATCTCTCCGCTTGGGGCCTGGAGCGCTCCTTGCCCAGTCTGGGAGGGTGAGGAGGGGGCTCGGAGACATGCCCCTCTATTCAGAGCTTTTGCCTCGAGTACACTTTGCTTGGATAAATGTCTTTGCCAGTTGGCATTGTGAATTCACATCCAGAAAGCCCTGTTTAACCCCAGGAAGCGCTGAGTGCATATTTCCTGATGCATAGCAACTCTGGAGGGTTTGAGCCCTGTCTTGGGATGCGCTAGAGCGCCACGTGGCTGGTGAAGCTCTGCGAGAAACGACTTGGGTCTGGGGCAGTGGAAGGGATTGTCCCCTTGTGTCTGATGCTGGCTGAGAAGTGGCGCAAGCCTCTTGCCCTGGGTGGGGGTCAGGATACTGCAGCAGCTTGGTCCTCTGGACAAAGGTTTGGCTGCACTGGCAGTGGGTTTTCTCTAGCAAAGGGAACATCCTCTAGAGTCTCTTTAAAGCCTGCTGGGAGGTAACCCGATGCTCTTTGGGCTTGTTGAGGCAGCTCTTCAGAAAGTTAGGATGAATTTCTGCTTCCTTCTGTGAAGGATGCTCTTGGCTGTTGCTACAGAAAGCAGCCTGTGCTGCCGCGTTTCTGGCTGTATGGGAAGAGCTTACAGTGAATCCTCTGAGTCAAGTGCAATGCTGAAAAATTTAGGCCTTGGCAATGCTCTTCTGCATTTCAAGCCAGAGCTGGCTGGGGGTTGTGGGAGCCCCTTGCGGAGTGGATCATGGCTCCGCATGCATATTTGCTTTCTTGGTTTGCAATGTGCTATTGTTGGATGGAGGGTGCCCATGTGAGCAGACTCATTATCTCTCAGGACAGCTAATAAGGAACGCATGAAGATTAACACTATGTTGGTATAGATGTAAACGGCACATTTCTGCCCCCTGCCCAAGAGCAGGCTCCCTGGCTGAGTCACAAGGCCAGGCATTTCGAGGGGCTGCCAGCTGATAAGGAAGAGGAGCTATTCATGGCTGGATCCGCCTCTGAATTTCAGACAGCAACAGCATGGATTTTATTTTTAAGCTGTTTTTGGCGGCCGACTTGCTCCAGTTTTCTCTCTTCAATCACGACCAGATGCACATAGGTCCCGTTTCATGCAAACCTGGGTGCCAAGTGGGAGAATGACTCATGCGGTAAAGGAAGGCTGGATCTGCAGACACACAAGCCTTGGGTGCATGTGTGCTTGGAAGTGCCAGACTATAGGTCTCTAGGGTGTCTTGCTGGAAGATCTGAGAGGTACTGAGTACTCAGAACCAATAAAATGGGAGACCTGGAGCTGAGGCTTTTGTGTTTTGGTTTCTTTTCTAAATGTCAAACTCAGTGAAGGAGTAATAGATGCAAAAGCTGAAACAATAATCCCCAAATGAGAATTTCCTATTCACCAGAGGCATCTCTAAAGAAAGCTGGGAATTACCTAAGCTCAGAGCACGGCACCTCCTCTGCTTCTGGTCCTCGCTGAACATCCATCTCCATCAGTCCCTCGGGATGGGGCAGAGCTGCTCTGCCGCGGAGGCTGTGAGCACCGGCTGCTGTTTGCTGTCCAGATGACTTGTGAGTGGAGCTACCCGTGAAGGTGCAGGGGGCTGCTCCTGCTTTTTTGAGTTGGGAGCAGAAAGTTAATGACTATGAAGGCAATTTTGATCTCGTTAAGAAAATGAGGCTCTTGACCTAGAGCAGCCTGTCCCTCACCTCCTCCCATCAGCGCGGGGACTTTGTTCCTGTGGCTGGAGGAAGGGGAGAACGCGTCGCCCAGCCCCGGAAAGGGATAGCGGCCGCACAGAGAGGCGCGGGGCCGTGCTCCACCGCTCGCGGCGCGGCCGGCCGGTGACATGCCCAGGGGAGCAGCAGGTCGCTGTGATACAGTTTGCGGTTGCAATGTCCGTGTTGAAAGGAGCCAAACCCACCTCTACACCGGAGAGTTCCTGGCCTGGGAGGGGGGCAGATTTCTCTGTGATGTTTATGTGAAACTGAGGAGCGGTAGGGAGGGGATGCCTGGGGGAATGCTGTCCCACCAGCGAGGCGGGCGCCTGCCTGGGGCAGACACCACCTGTGCGTGGGGCAAAGGGTACGGCCCGATAAAGGAGCCAGCGGACCCGAGCACAGCGAATCCGTGCTGGACCCGCATCCTGTCTGGTAAACCTGCAGCAGGCAGGAGACTGACAACGGTCTGCCCGAAGGGGACCTTGGTGCTGCCTTCAAACGCGGTGGCAGGATCACCTCGCTGTGCCGCAGGAGTACAGGAGGGAGCAGTTCGCTTATGCCAGCTTGATCCTGAAGCATCAGAAATCTCCAAGGCTGGGACACAGGGGCCCCAGCACACCTTGCCTTCTTGAGCACCAGCCTGGATCCTCTGTCCCCAGAGCTGACGAAGGCACAGCAGGGACGGGCTTGTTTCCATGGAGAGAGCATGACTTTCCCTCTAGGAAGAGGGCTGGGTTCTCTGCAGAGGATCAGAGTCTGTTTCTTCTGTGCTGGGTCCCAGCTGCCTCTTTTTGCAGTGACTTTGCATGAAAAAAGATCTCAGCTGTGGCTTTTCTAACTGGCTGGAGCGTGGTGGTGCAGATGCAGCAGCATGGCTGTCTAGGAGGAGCTGGACATTCCTGTTGCTGCTCTGGTGGTGAATCCAAAAGCGCATCAAATCGCAGGGTGCTTGCCCCAGGCTGTGGTAGGGACGCTGGGGCGCACAGGCACGGCTGGCGTAGGGCTGGTTGGAGCATGCCCCGAGCTCTGCGTGCTGCCAGCTCCCTGCGAGGACTGCCTGTGATATCCTGCTGCGAGCTAGTGTCAAGGGGGCAGCGAGGTGGTCAGTCTCCTTGGAGCTGGGTAGGATTTGAGGACACATCTCTGGGTTTGGGTGGAGGAAGAGGTGCCTGCAGCAGGGTCTGCTCTCCTGTCTTTGTCCTGTGCAGCGATCCGGGGTGTTTGCAAAGCGCCTGGCATGCAGCAGGAGAGCCCTGACCATGGCTGCACTGGAGGGGCCGTGCCCTCATCCGTGCTGTGGCTCAGCTGCGAGCCCCAGGGCAGCCTGCAAGTCCGAGGCCCCTGCGGAGAATCGGCCCATTCTCTCGCACGCTTAGCTGAGGCAGATTCTCATCCTCCCGGAAACATAAGCCACCATCATCCATAATTCATCAGGTGCTGAACTTCATCAAGGAGCCATTTGACAACAGGGCTGGGTGCTCCACCCTCCTCCCAGGGTGGGAAAGTGCTGGCTCCGAGTATTCCCAAGGGGCCGCGGCAGGAAGCGCATCCTGTTTCCTCAGCCTCGGGGTGGGCGAGTCTTTTTTCGGAGGAGGCAAACTCAACAAGGGCTCTGGTGTCTCTGCTTCCCCTTTTGATAAATAAACATCTGCTTCTCATCCCTCCAGGAAGTTTCAGCCATTGTAAAGCCAAATATAAAACTGAAACAGTGTTTTTGAGTAGCCATGAGCTGATTGCTCCATTACTGTTTACTGAGGCATTTACAATCATACACAGAATGCACTTCAAATAAAAACATTAGGGGACAATGACTTTAATGGCTGAGATTTGCATTGAAGGTATGTGTGTGTGCATGCATGTGCGCGTGCGAGAAGCTGTGCTGGGTTTGGACTGGGCATTCTGCCTGCTGACGGAGAAATCCTACAGAATACAGAATCATCTCCTCTAATTTATACCTTGTTCTCCAAATCCTGGCACATCTTTTGTACGCAAAAAAGAATCCGTCTGACTTTTTCCAGTATAAATCCAGTGCAGAAGGCAGCTCTTTTTTTAACCTATCTTAAATTCTCACAATCTCTGGGAACAAGCTCCCCTCTATGAACATACCCAGACAGGAGGGAGTAGGAGCTCAAATGTGTTACTGCTATTTTGCTCTAGTGAGAGGGCTCCATAAAAATTAATGCAATCCTTTTCTGTGTTTGAAACCCATGCAGATGAACCGGCTGCTAGAGGAGCAGCATTCCTTGCCTGCTACCTTCACTCAGCTACCCCTTGCTGCCATTAGCGCCACAGCAACTGCATGACCAGTCACGGAAGAAATATGCCAGTGGGGGAGAGGGAGGCATGTGCTGCTCTGCAGTATCACAGTCTTCCAAGCTCCCTTCTCTGCAGAGAGCCAGCATGCCCTGGCAGCACAGCTCCGCTGCCTCTTACTGACCAGATGCTTACTCGGGAAGGAGAGGAATGCAAAAGTTGCATTTATTTCTAGTCTCCAAAGGAATGAATCTAAGAATGCAAGGACAAAACCTTGAGATATCCCAGGACAGCTGTCTTGCTTGTCCTTGGTGTAATTGCAGCAGGCTCTCTGGTTCCAGTGGTTTCTTGGTGTTTGCAGGGAAGAGCCAGGAGACCAGCTCGCCAACCATGATATCCCCGCTTCTTATTGGAATTAAAGATCTCTTGGTTGACGAAGGCGGCTAGGGCTTCTAGCCTGCCCATATGGGCAGTTGGTGGGATGAGACTTTCTGCTCACAACACTCCTCCCTCTCCTCTCTGCAGGCTCAGCGTATTATGATAACGTCCGTCCCTTGGCCTACCCAGACTCGGATGCAGTGCTCATTTGCTTTGACATCAGCCGCCCAGAGACCCTGGACAGTGTGCTCAAGAAGGTCAGTGCCTGGCCTGCGTCCTAACTTGTGAGATGGGGGGTTCTGCAGCAGCACGTGGGGCTGGTCTGGGGTCCCTGCTCTCTGGCGCTGTGATCAGAGCTAGAAGCTCTGGCCCATGTGGCCAGACCTTAGCTGGAGTTGGCATACTCAGATCTGGATGGTCTGCTGCTGCCAATCCCCATGTCATCTGTAGCAGAAAGCAAGATATTTCCATTTGAAAGGAGTCCTGTGAATAATGTAGCTCATAGTAGCTTGCAGGGGAGGTATCTGTGTGTATGCACATGTGCAAATGTGGGGACAGAGGGAAATGCAGGGCATTTGTTCTGTTTTTGATGAAGACCTTGGAAAGTGTTGTGCATCTCTTGTTAGCGTAACCACCAGTGAGTGTGTTACCAATTGCTTGCAGCAGCTGAGAAGTAGCCCCTGGTGCTGGTTTCCATGCAAGCAGAGTGCTCAGTTTGTTGGCTGTCCCCTCAGTTCAGCATCTGCACAGTAGAAAGGACAGCAATCAGTTCCCTACAACTTGACAACAAGAATAATGAGCTGTGGGCACTGAATTTCAAGTCTGTACATGAATAAAATGAAATGGCACGATGCCACTGGACTAGATAGTACACAGGGCTTGAACGCTGTCAGCCCTGACAGAGCTGACTAGCCAAGGTCTGCATCAGCAGCTGGGAGCTTCTACCTGCAGGTTAGCACCTTCCAGGAGAGCAGCTCTTCCTGGCGGGCAGCTCTGCCAGCCCCCCGGGAGCTCCGCAGGGACGCAGCCCATGGTGCAGCACCCCTGGCTGGTTCCAGCAGGCCTGGGCATGTTGAGCCCGGTGGGAAGAGGTGGCATCCACGTGAGGCTTTCCCCTGAGATGGCATGAAATCCAGCAGCACAGGATGCTGCCCAGAGGAGCTGCTGAATGTCCTCCTGACCCTTCACATCCCGAGGTGCCTCTGGTCCTGGCTGCTGCATGCTTCGTTTCATGACGTTCAGGCAGCTGCGGTTTCAGCGCGCTCTCCCTGCTGTGCAGCATAGCTGCAAAGGACTAGTTTGCCACTGCGTCCTGTCCCAGAGGTGAGTCATGGCTGCCGTCTAGCTCGTGAAGCTCTCTGAGATACTGAGGAGTGAAAGGCACTGCAGAACTGTAAGCGATTCCTGTGGTTTTCCTCAATGACCCCCAATCTCCTGGGGCTGGACTGGCCACTGTCTGAGCAAGTCACATTGTGGTGACTGCCCTTTCGACCTCTCTGCATTTTGCCAAATGTTGTGCTGAAGCAAATGCTTCTTATTCAGCTGCTGGAAGGGCTGAGAAGCAGAGCTGGGGCTCCAGTGTCCTGGTGAGGGGACAAAGACCCCTCAGACAACGCGGTCAATGGCTCAGTGTTCAACTCCAAAGCAGTTCCCAGTACAGAGCTTGCTGGGTACAGGCAGGCATGCTTCATGCGGACTCAGAGAATTCACTCCTCAGCTTGGGAGTCAGCAGAATAATAATGCAAGCAAATCACTTGCACCGTAATGAGCTGCAAACCCACTAATAATTAGCTGGGGCTGGGATCTATTTATGTGTTTCTCTGCAGATACTCTTTATGTGAGACTCTGTACTGCTCAGTGTAAGCTCTTCCCTGTGCAGCCTCACAGATGCTTCGAAGACTGTTAGGCAATGTCTTTTTGATATGGTGGCTTAAAATGAACCCTAAATCACAAGAGATTTCTTAAGTGCCTCTGAGTAGATGCCTGGTTTCCTTTGGCACAGGCTTACAGCCTACAGAGGTGAGGAGAATTCCTAAGACACCATGAAGTTGAAATGGGGTTTAGCTTTTGATATCAGGCGACTAAGGAGAATAACACTGCCTATTCCAGCCGTGGGCAAAGATGCTAATTCAGCAGAGGAAATCTTTATTATTGCTGCCCGTCTGGGATGCAAAATCGGAACTGGCTTTTGATTTGTAGGACTCTAGTTTATGTAAACAGCACGTACAAGTGAAGGGGAAGGAGCCACCTGAGAGAAGGCAAACAAACAGCTTTTCATTTCGTACAAAGTCGGTGTTCATGGGGTGGTGCCTTCATTCTGACAGGTTTTGATAGTGCAGCAGATCTGAGCTCCCCACCAGGCTGTTGCTTGTGTGAGAAGAGGGTCATACCACTCCATGGACCAGGGAACCCTATGTCAGTACAGACACCTGTGACCTCCTGCTTGGTTAGAAGGGACCCTATAGCTCCATCTCTTTAGGGATTTTCACCCCTCGGGTAAATTAGGATGTTTGCATTCCAGCTCCAAAAGAATTATAGCATCCTCCTCTTCCTGGTGCTTTAGCCCTTGACAGTGTACGGCTGTGACACCAGAGACCTCCACAAGCTGGACAGGCTCGTGTGCTGCTGGAGGGGTGGAGATGTGTGAGTCCCACTAGACGAGTGTTCCTGGCAGCAGGGGAGGAAAGTTCACGATGAAGCCAATATGAGCCAGTCTCCTGGTGGAAAAGAAGCTTTTTCCTTATTTTGCAGTTGCTTTGGTCAGATATTTGACGAAATGAAACTTGTATCATCTTCAGCACTTTCTTTCCCCACCAGGTTATGCACACCAGGTGGTGGGCCTTTTTTTTTTTCTTCTAATTGCCAGGGTATATGCTTTACCGTCAGCTACTGTGACAGGAAATTGCTAATTCCAAGTGACACCTTTAGCCAGTGGTATCTCTGCTTATCATCTGCCTGCTACTTCAAAAGCACTAGACGCGTAAGCGGGGTGTTGGCACACTGAAGGCAACTGTACAAGTCTCCTCTGGCAGAGGTCACAGGTGATGCTTTTATTTACTGTTGCAGACACTTAGCTGCATATTGAGCATTCATTTCTAGAGCTCTAAAAAGTGCCATTAGTGCCAAGGAAGTGGATGTTTGCCTTGACCTTCAGCTTGCTTCCGCTCTTTATTTCCCTGGCTGTAACTATGCTCTGAATGTCTTAATGTCTTTAAAAATGTGGCTCCCAATGATAAACAAATAATGAGTGTGTTGTGCAAATAGCTCCCTGCTGACTGGTCCAAAAGGCTCGGCAAGGGTGACCTTTGGAGTCTCAGATCTGTGCACCAGACTGTGTGGTCATTATTTTTCCATAGTCATACACAGAAGAGGTCTCCAGACGCCTTGGGCAGGAGGTGGCAACTTAGGTTTAGGTGGTTTGCGGTGCATATTGGAACAAGCGTGCAGAAAGTTATCTTAGAGGCACTCATTATTCCCATCCCTGCCTGTGACAGTCATTAAAGTGCCCGGATGAGCTAATCACCGTCTTAACAGCTGTGACCCCAGTTTGGAAAGGCCATACACACCACAGTGCTCTGGCTTGGCCTCGGAAGCCTGCTCTCCAGGTCTGATCCCATTAGAGCCTCATATTGTATTCAAAACATTGAAAGCTGCCTGGCCCTGCATTTTCTGTCTTCAGCACAGTGTCCAGAGCTGTTTCTGGGCGGCTCGCTCACTCAGGATTAGGGCACAGAGAGCCCCACTAGCCTTGGTGGCCACCATCCCTTGTGTCCTTGACCTACAGCCCTTTCTGACTTCCTGAAACCTGAGCATGCAGGCCTCAGTGGAGACAAAAACTGCCCGCAGTGCTGGGATTGTGGGTGCTACAGATCTAAGGCAAATGAGCCTGAAACAGGCGTTGCAATAGCGACAAGCGGCAGTCCCGGTGCTCTGGCTAATTCCGTTCCAGGTCCTGTGCGGAGACGTGCCTGGCCAGGCTGGCTCGGCAGAGCGTGTGCTGACGTTAGTAGGTGCTGGGGGCCGGCGCCCCTGCACGTCGTTCCTCTGCTGAGAGAGGGGAGGGCAGCTTGCTGGTGTGCATGGCCGAAGCTGTGAATCAGGACTTCGGGGTCCTGTTCTTGGCCAGGAGGCGTGGAAGAGTTGTGGCTGGAAGATGCTGTCTGATATGAACTAATGTCAAGATTCTCCTGGCCTGCTCTTTCCTGCAGGGCTGAGGGGGGTTTAGAAGAGGCTCTTGGCCTGGTCTGTAAGAGGCTGGGTGCACAGGGCTGAGACCCTGCGATTGCCTTTGAGTTGCCAACCTTTGCCCTTTTGCAGGCTGCCTGTTGCCAGAGTTATCTTGATGTGAAGGGGCCAGCTGGTCTCCTGTGGTGACTGTTACACAAGCTGCCTCTGAACACCTCTCTCTTGTCTCCTCTGCAGTGGCAAGGGGAAACTCAGGAATTCTGCCCCAATGCGAAGATTGTGCTGGTTGGCTGCAAGCTGGACATGCGGACAGACCTCAACACGCTCCGGGAGCTTTCTAAGCAGCGCCTCATCCCCGTCACACATGAGCAGGTGTGTCTCGGCAGCCAGCTCCATAGGGTTCCTGGGGAGTGAGTTGGGCTTTTTTCAAGACGTATTAGTACAAAGAAGCTCAGCAGCAAGTGACCCTCTGTGCCAGGTCTTGGTCTGAAGCTGTTTTGATCTTGGCTAATGGAGCAGACGCTGAGCTGCTCATCTCTCAGCACTCTTCTCCCTGCCCTCGGGGAGAACTTGACTTATTCCTGACGCTCTGCTGAACAACCTTCTGGTAGGTAGCTGAAATGTCTTTTCTCAAAGATGGTGGAGATGCCTGGTTTGACAAGCTGAACCATCTAAAGGGGAAGGCACAGGAGGTGTTTCTGTGATTCTTAGCTTAGCATAGCTCTTTCAGCTCTGCAAGTGACTCTTCTGCTTAGGGTCTGTCAGGGGGCAACCACCGCTGGCAAGGGGGTAAGTCATAGCTGCAGGGTCTGCTGCTGGACTGCTCTGTTCCCAGCTCTTATTGTGAAGACCCACAACCACTTCTGGGGGCCATATGATGGCCCTGGTGAGAGCAGTTGTGCAGGCCCTCTGCTGAGGGGGTAGCACAGTGTTAGTGGCAGAAGGTAAGCACCTCAGGGTCCAGCACCCTCAGATGCCCACTGTGTGCTTAGGCCCCACCAGTGTGAAGAGCAGGTGCCTGGCTGGCTGATGACCAGATTTCTGGTGGAGAGCAGGCCTTGGGTTCCTTCTCCCCAGGGCAGGGGTGAGGCCTCCTGCTGTCAGGTCTGGTGGTGATAACAGCTTGCTGCTGAGGAGCTGTAATGATCTGCAGGCGCATCCTGGCTTGGCCCTGGACAGGTCTTCCAGGCTTCTCAGCCCTGCAAGGGATCCATACAGGGAAGCCTTGGGACAGTGGGTGCACCTCTCCTTCAGAGCCAAATCTCAGTTGCTGCTGGGAGACCAGCAGGCAGGTATGTGGCACCTGGCATCCCTGTCTTCTCAGGAGGCCATGCTCACACCTAGGGCTCTCATATACACTTGCACTTTATTTGCGGAGGTGAGAGCAGCTCCCCACTGTGCCCGTGCTTTGATTGGGCTGGGAGCACAGGCCAAGCTCAGTGTGATGTAAAAGGGTGCTCTCTGCAAAGTGCTGACATCTTAACCTCCTTTCCTCCTCTCCCCATCCTCTCTGGATCACAGGGTAGTGCATTGGCACGGCAGATCGGGGCAGTGGCCTATGCAGAATGCTCCTCCAAGGTCTCGGAAAACAGCGTGCGGGATGTGTTTCATGTGACCACGCTTGCCTCGGTGAACAGGGTGCACAAGAACTTGAAGCGCAGCAACTCCAAACGGGGACTGAAGCGGGCATCTCAGATGCCTGGCAGGACGGACTTATTGAATGACACAGAGATCAGGAAAGACCGAGCCAAGAGCTGCTCCATCATGTGAAAAACAGGCTGTAAATAATGTGTGTGTATTGTCCATTTTGTACAGTAACTGGCCCAGACAAGGGCATGGTGCTGGCTGCAGGGCCAGCCTGCCTTTCCAAAGCCTTTCTCAGTCTTTAGGGCTGAGCAAAGGTCCTAGCTGCAAACCAGGGTGCATGAGTCACCCCCCCACCATGGAGACCTCTGGATTGGCTGTTGCTGTGCTGATTGCTTGGGGTAAAGGAACCACTTGGCAGAGGAGTATTCAGGTGCTGGAAAGTCTGTGACTGGGTGAAACGAAGCAAAAGGGAGTGATCCCGGGTGCGTGTCACTCTCCTGCACACATGGCCCAGGCTCCATGCGTATGTGCAGCTACAAAGACACACGCAGCATGGGGCAGTGGGCTGTGTGGGATCTGGAATGGAGGGTGGGGAGTGGGAGGAATTGTTAGCAGCAGAGTGTGTTCAGGGGAAGGTGCTGTTGCAGTCACCCTTTAGAAGAGAGGAGACGTTTGCGTCGGTGCTGCCTTCTGCTAGGCTGGACGGCAGGTCACCACAGAAGGTGCAGGTCTGGGCCAAAGCTGGGAGGGAGGGCACCCTGAGGAGGAATCTTAACCTGATGAGACACCATAGTAGTCTACCCCCGGCAAAGGAAATCAGTCCATTGCTCTTTTTGAGTTATTTTAAATACCCAAACTCCATTTGAACAGCGGTGAAATGCAGCAGGGTGGATCTGGCTCCAGGGGAGAGGTTTATCCCAGTAGAGGCATCCTGAGAATTGTGGTTCCCTCAGCAAGCAAATGCTACTCGGGAGCTTGTGTCCCAGCTGCTGACAGCCTGGTTAGTCACCGAACTGCTCCTGCAATGGGCAGCTGATGTTCCGAGGCACATCACTTCCGAAAAAGCAGACTGCAATAACTATCCATATCCTGTTCTCCACCCATTTCCAGCTGCAGATTGTGTTGCATGGTGCTGTGTTTGTCTGGTTCAGATAACCAAAAAGATTATATGTGTATCTGCACCCTGTCTCCTCTGTGGCACTGGGAGGGATGGTGCTTCCTGCTCTTCTTGCCATGCTGTACAGCCTGCTGCCAACACCTCTCATTGCTTCTGCTGCTGCCCTCTCTAATGCCTTTGACTACAGTGTTAGCCTTGACTTGATGTCACATAGACACTTTAAGGAAAAAAAAAAATCTGCTCCATTGCCAGATCCAGCTGTGTCAGTGGGCTACAGGAAACAAATAAACATCACTGGAAAATGCTTAGTGCTTGACTCTGTTTTTAATAGCCAAACTCGGCATCCTCTCAAAATATCTTACTGCCTCACTTCTGTTTGTATCTTGACATAATTTCTCTAGCTCTTGAAATCCACTCACACACGCACACGTGCAGTGGCCTTAGCTACATGTACTCATTTGGGAGCCGAGCCACCTACCTGAATAACCTCTCACTCCATCCTGGATCCCTAAATACTGTGCAGCGTTTGCAGCTTGTCTATGCCCGAGCTGCCAATTTGAGTTGATGTGCGGTGTCCCCATCCTCACTATGTCACTAGCCGCAAGTGAAGATAGCTTTTGACTTAATATTTTGTACCTGCTCTCCCACCCAAGGCTCAGACTTCAGTTGCACCATGAAGGCTACTTGGGCAACTGGAGCAGCTGAGTAACTAGCACAAGAAAAGCCCAAGAAATGACTGGATGGGGTTGTGCTGAGTGCAGGTTGCAGGAGGATGAAAGTGCCCATCTGCAGGCTTGGGGGAAGGGACCTGAGTGAGGCACTATGCCAAGACCAGCCTTCAGCCCTGCAACGCTTTTCTCTTTCTCTGCAGGGTCCCCAGAGCCCCCACAAGCAGCACTGAACAAAACTAGTCCCTGCTTGATCAGTACCAAGCAGTAGCTCACAAGTGTCACTACCAACTCCTTTTTTAACCTGTGCACGTTCAAAATTACTCTGTCTTCCTTCTCTCCATGTAAGCACAGAAGTATTTGGCAAGCATGTCACCCTTGTCATCTAGTATCTTTTAGGCTAAGACTGCTTTTGAACTTAATCTGGTATTCTCTACAAACGCGTTTCTGCTCCACTGATTAATTCAAACTTCCAATGGCTCTATATTAACTTGTTAGCTCACCCTATAAGCAAATCCCCAGTTACTGGGTAGTGATCATTGACCCTGAGCTGTGCCAAGCGTCTAGGCATATGGAGTGGGCTGTTGCTATAAAAAGTGGCTGTAAGCCTCCCTTGGTGTCTGCTCCCATCCAGCTCCAGCGAAAGGGGAGGTCTGGACACCAGTGAAGCCCGCAGAAGCACTGCAGGTGTTGGGCTGGGGGTGGGTGGTCACGGTGCGTGACACGGCAAACGGACCAGTTCGGCAGGCTGCAGCAAACACCCCATTCGCCCGCGCAGGGGAGGGCGCAGGGGCAAGCTGCTGGCCCTCCGTGGGCGCTGCCGGGCAGAGCGGCTCCTCCGCCAGAACCCGGCTGCAGTGCTGCCTGGCGGCTCCACGACAGCCGGCGATGCTTTCCCCTTTCTTTGGGTCACTGGTGCGCAAAGATAACTTGGTCCCTAGTGGCCCTGGCTGTTAGCTCTGCTGCAACCACAACTGAGCTTCACTTGCTGCTGCTGGGGATTTCTTTTTTTCTTTTTCTTTTTTTTTTGTAAACTGAACTTTTCAGGCTCTTGTGGCTTAAATGGCCCTTAGGGATGGATTGTGACACTGTAGAGACATGTCCCAGCAGCAGCTCTGCGAGAACTAGTCAGGATTAATGGCAAGCAGAACCTCTCAAGAGACGAAGGCAAGCAAAACAGTCTCCAAGACCATTTATCATAAAGTAGCTGAGCTGGATCCCTGGGTAGGGGGAAGTAAAGATGTTAAAGCCTATGGGAGTAAGCCCTTATATATCCTCAATTTCCGTCAGCAGATCCTTTTCCCGCAGGCGTATGAGCAGTTCTGCAGCTGCGGGTGACCCAGGTGCAGAGCCCTGGACAGCAGGCCAAAGGGATTTTAGGGATTTTTTTCCTTGCCTCTAAGGAAGCCGTTTGCAGGACAGAGCAGTCCCGCTGTGTCAGCGCACTACTACATCCACCTGCCTCCGCGTGGTCCCAGGACAGCTCTAGACACTTGGAGCGTTTGCTGGCTGCTGCCCAGAGCATCTTACTGTGGGAAAAGGGCTTTTGTGATGCCTGCCTTAGGAGGGACAGCCTGAGGTGCTCCCCGCTCAGAGACGTGGAGGGCAGGAGGCCAGGGCTGGCAGACCTAAGGAGGGTTACTGCAGCTCAGAGGTTGCCAGTGAGATGTGCACTGGCAGCCGTGCTAAAGAGCAAGGTGCGCTCTGCTTGGGTGGGGGAGCTGCCCCAAAAGCACCATGGAAGCTCTGGGCACAGCTTTTCCCTCCAGAAGAGCCTTGCAGCAGCGCAGGCTGTGGTTTTAATCCTTACTCCAGGCCAAAAGGAGAAAGCCGCAGCTTGACCACGTGCAGTGCTCTGTAACGCAGTCAAACATAGAGGTGTCAGGGCTGGTCTGAGGAGCCTGCAGCCGTTCAGCGCAGGCAGGGCTGCTTGGCAGACCGGCCTC